TGTCTCTCTCTCTCTCTCTCTCTCTCTCTCTCTCTCTCTCTCTCTCTCTCTCTCTCGTCTCGCTTCTGCCAACGTGGAGGCGAACGCGAGCGCATCCGCGGACGTGTGTAGGCTGGAAAAAAAGAATACGTGATCAACGTACAGGAAACTGCCCACACTCGGCGCACAAGCACCGTGGGTGGACGGACGGATGGATCGACGGATGGACGGACGGACGGACGGACGGACGGACGGACGGACGGACGGACGGACGGACGGACGGACGGACGGACGGACGGGCGGACGGACAGACGGACGATTCAGAAATCGTAGCAGTTTCAGGACGGACGCAAGAAATGCGAGAAATAGCGAACGCAATCCGCGAGGTTGCAGCGGAGCTGAAAAATGTCTGATACTTCTAAAGTTGCAAGAAATATCCTGCTCTGTTTGTTCAAGAGCTTTATAATTATTTACAATTGTAAACCAGGCGTATCGAAATTGGTAGCATATTATTTATTTCACACTCTCCACGGCGATTAAGTCGTGGATCGCTTCTGCGTTCAAATTAATCGGGTCATTATTTGTGAAAAACTCTGTCCACGTTTGTTGGACTTTAAATAGCCTGAATTTCACGACAAGATTTGAATTATTTGATGATGTATCCGTCACGGAACACACCGTGCACGATATATTTCGTATTGTAACCTCAATTGAACATACGAAACGGAAATGTTTCATAGGAAATCTACTGCGGCACCGCCGCGACAACAAGATATAAATTTGATGAGCACAAAGATTAATGTAAAAGAGAGAATGTAAAGTGTCTTTAGGTCAAGAATTCTCGGTGGCCATGAAGATGTTTTTCAAGGCGCCGTTCGAAACGTAAACGACGACGGGCTGTTATTACGGACACGTATCGGCGCGCATTCGCGTAATTAAGCGACGCGATGCCGGCGATCGGTGCACAATAGCGCTGTTGAATTAATGATTCTCATCGGGTGCGTCTTCCTGTCCTCTCGTCCCGTTTAGGCGAACGGGATCAGCATATATAGCTTTAATCGGGACGCGCGCTACGCTCTTCTCGGAACTCGCAGCGCGCGTTGATTGACGATTACCTGCTTATAAGGTGCTGCGCCTGCGAGAAAACAGGTAGATCGCACGCAGCTTATAATAACAATCGAAAATCGAGCCGCCGTCGAACTTTCGCGCGCCCAGACGTGCCGTCGGCGTTTTCTTATTACCGAAATCGTTACACAGCGACCGGTTATGTAACAGGTGTTGCCGGCACATCTGCGGCGATGCGAGTGTCGCGTCGATATCAGTTTTCGCAACTGCGTAAAAACCGCGAGTATCGTCGCGCCGATTAATATGTAAATTATCGGCGCGTGCAGTCGCGCAACAAGATTTCAAGATTTGCAGAATGATCGTGGAAACGAATGTTATCAATGTTGTTTTCGAAATCGCGCGATACCGCGTGATATTCTTAATGCGTCGATTATTATAAATAATTACAATTACGCGCAGAATTAGTATTAATTGGCACTTTCGAAATTAATGGCGAAATTTTGGTAAATAAATCGCTCTCACTGAATATTTTTTCTCAACAAATTTTCTCTTTTGGCTGGACTTCAAAAATTGTATCCAAAGATATTTAATTATATTCTTACTGTAAATTATTACGTATGTTAATTATTGAAAAAGAATTTTTTCGACATCGACATTTGAATTACGTCGAGTCACGTCTTTCTGTGCCATCCTGTATGTTCTGATTGTAAGTTTATTCAGCGCGTTTTCTTAAAAGCGCATATTCAGCCGGAGCAGAACTGCGAGCGGAGCGGTGCGGAGCGAAGCCGCGCCGTCACGAGCGGACGGAGTCCGCGTTCTCGGCTCCGTTTCAACGCGAGCACAACAGGAAAAAATGGTTCGCTTCCTCGCATTGTTTCTGAACGCTCGGCACGACAGCAGTTTCTTACACGCCAGTTATGCATTAAGAAGCAGGTTCCCTCGAAACGAGACTAATGCATTTTCATAACCGCGCCACGATACCTATCGTTCTTGTCTAACAAATTACACAATACGTAATTAGGATTTCCGCTCCGCTGACGACGACACATTTTCGTGCGTTTTCCTTCGAATTATCCGGACAAATCCGTTTGTCTTGGATTACTGCCGTCGGTCGATTGTCATGTTTTTCAAATTCTACACTCAAGAGCCCTTTAGTGACTTGGAGATATATATGTATATATTTTTTTTGTACAAAGAATTTGGCGAAATAAATACTTTGTTGCAAGCTCGAGACACAAACGAAACTCTTCTACAGAATTTAAACTCCAAATTTCAGCGTTTCCGGAAAGCATTTGTTGAATTGTCGCGAGTAACGGGATATAATGGGAGAAATTTCGACTTTTGTCAGAGCCTCGTCAGGGATTTCCGGTGCACAAAATCGTTTTCTGAGATTTCGCCGGCATTTGGCCGAATTCGGAAGCGCCTCAGCTACCTGCCGTCGTCGTCCGTCCCGCGTTACGGGCGGGCGGAAGCGCGGCGCTCGCTCCTCTTCCGCGCCGCGTCGGTGCAGCAGGAAAAGATGGCTCGTTTCCTCACATTGTTTCTAACCGCGGCATATGAGCGCGGCCTGCATATGCCGGGGACATGGGAGCGGATGCGGGACGCGGACGCGCGAGCGAGTAAGCGAGTCCGTGTACGCTCCGCCGCGTGTTGCGGTGTTTTTGCAAAAATAATCAAGGAAAACTAAGGATTAAATAGGGATTTCAAAGGTTTAACTCAAGGTTGCGCTCAGAGATTCTATTCTAGAATCACCGGATGTCCCGTTAATCTTAGCTACTCTGAATCTAATTTTCTGGAGGCGAAGAAAATAAGAAACAGGTTATCATTTGTCGCACTTTTTTTCACTTTTGACATTAAACTCCGAATTACAATTTTATTGAAGTTTATTCAGAATTGCTTGTGGAGTTTAATTTTATCATTAATTTTATAACCTCTTTGATAATTAAGGTGGCTTATTATTCTCGGCAGCTGCAAATCTCAAGATTTTCACAATTGCAATTTGCCAAAAATTTATAATTCTTTATTCTGGCATGCTTGACCAACATTTACAACTTTATTTTCTATTATTTACTTTTATAACAAGTAAAAGAAACTATGTAGTACGAAGACAAGTTAGATACAAAAGTGATCCATCATAATATACTTATTTACAATATCTGTAATAAGCTCGCATTTGATCTACGTGGAAAGGACATTTTTGCTGAAAGATCTAAAAATTGTGCCAGAGATACAGATCTAAAAACAACATTTTGTTGGACGTACAAAAATTTATCAAATGAGCACTCGATCTTTGTCAAAATTGTTCCCTGCAATATGAAACGATCGAATGTTCTGTTGATAGTTTTTAGAGTTCGACCGAAATTTCGGTTTCGGTTTCGGTTACGGCCAGTTTCGGCCAAAAATCAAGGTTTCGGCTTAATTTCGGTTTCGGCCGAAACTAAAAAAAGTGGTTTCGGTCGGACTCTACTTCACAATATATTATTTTTTATTTTGTAATATTGCGTTTTATTTGTGAAAAAAACTTT